CACACACCAGGCTGTAGGGTAAGGTACGTTACCGCACTCGCATCATATCTTACATATAATACCTCATCAAAATCACACACCCTCACTCGCATTCTATTTATAGCCCCCCTTCTTTCCCAATCGATCCACCATCGACATGCCCGGTCTATGCCGTCCTCAGCCTTAGTGTAACTTGCGATGCTTGTAAATTAATATTAATCACCAACCAAGTCTCCCGTGGAGAGGTATGCAATAGAAACGGCTCGGGCCGGACAAATGAGGTTTACCGTAAGTATCGTACTCGAGCCCGGTACTGTAAGTTAGTTGCGGCCATATATAGACTTGAATCTTGGGAGGGGAGGGGGTGCACAATAAGGTAGCCTAGTTGGTTGGCTGATTGGCTGGGCACGCTGCGGTGTAAGCTAAGGTTTTTTCCCGCATCTTTTTTTTTTTTTCATGCTATGGGGGGCAGCGTGAAGGGTTTTAGTACAGTAGCTTCTAATCTGCTGTGTTTCTGATAAGAAGGTGGGGGGGGGGGGGGTGTGGATGGGTGTTCGGGGGCTCCATGATATGATACGGGATGATAATGTGGAACGGCATGCCGAGGGGCATGGCGATCATGGGGGTCATCATGCCTGAGGATAGTTGATTTTTTGTACGGTATTGATGAGTGTGGAGTATTATCTCCCGGAAGCTAAGACTCTGGAAAATTTTGTGCTGCCCCTGTGGGGCCTAAGACAGGGATGACTAATACACCCACTGACTGCTCTGGGGGAGCGATAGTACGAGTACAGGTACGTGTAGCTCTGAAGTTTGCACATCTGAGAATTTTATGATGATTAACAAAATCTGCCATCAACTTGAGTCTTACGGTAGACACTGACAGGGGCGGCACAAATTTTTCCACAATCTCAGCGGTCCAGGAGACCCGGCAATGCGGCAGGTTAAAGTACCCATACAATACCGTACCACTCGCAGCCACAAAGTTCCCGCAGCGGTTCAAGTGCCCCATCAACTAACCAATAAAGGGAAATCCGACCCCTCTCCGAGCTTTTCTTTTCAAATCCGGAACCGACAAATTCCATACAAGTACCGTACTCGAGTACAGGACTCTCACATCTTCCTTCCCTGGTCTAAATAAATACCTTGTGCGATCTTCCGGTGGAAAGTGTCCGTCAAAACTCTGCGCTGCATCGGGTGTCACGAGAACTCTGTGAACACGAGTGCGTGCTGCAGGGAGTGTTGGAAGGCTCCGGCATCACTGAGAGGATCTTTCCATATGTATGTTGCTGCCTCCTGCAGTGGACTAACCCACATCTCGTCTATTCGAGGCATTAAGCCCCGGGGTTGGGGTGCTTATGCAGGATTTTCAATCTGAAAAAACATTTCGATGTGTGTAACGCTACTCTTGCATACTGTGCCTGGCGACTGAAATCCACCCCTCACCCGACCAAGTCCAACAACAACGAAGGAAAGGATCGCAACTGCGACCAGGCCCTGGAGAAAAACTCTGCACAGAACTGCTGAAGTGATCTGACACACACTTTAGCTCATTCATTCACTCAAATTTATGCTGAGGCACTACTACCCCTTTGCGATATGTACGATATCAAATTTGCAAAGTGGAACAAGGCGTTACTTTTTGGAGTCTAGCACGATCGGAGTGGGCACTACAAGAAATGTGATCGGATCGATCTAAAGCCTTGCCTCCATCTAATCTAATCAGATTCCATCGATCCTTCTCCCTTCCTTCCTTGCCCTAACCCCTTCCCCCCTCCAATCCCGAACGGATGAAAAGCACAAAAGAGCGTAAAAATGTATGAAAGCCAAAAAAATTATTCTGAATCGTCCCGCGTTCCTCGAGGCCTATCTGCAGCGGCCACCTTATCTCCGGTAAAGTATGGCACCCGCGGTACTCACACGCGTCTCACACCCGAAGCACCAGCAACAAGACCACCGATAGCATACAGGTACTGCTTGCAAACCGCCTTAGAATCACGACTACGATCCTACTATCGATCTACTACAGCCAGGGTATCGCATGCTCTACTCCTGCGTGCTTTGGAACACGGTTCGTGCAATTACAAGAAGACACAACTTAGCATCTCAGACCCGACCGGGAATCACCGCATTCTGCTATCCTCACTGCACCTTACAAAATAGGATAACCATTAAGTAAACCCTTACGTGCAGCACTTTGCACCCCGCCAATCCACCCCGCGCCTTCTAAATTACATCTCCGTCCGTCCGTCCTTCCATCCATCGGTGCCAAGATCCCTGCCATTCCGTCCTGTGGTTAAATCGCTCCCAGCACGGAAAAACTCTTCACTGGCACGTGAGAGAGCTGCCGCCCCCTCCCCCCCCCCCCGACTATCGCACAGTACCGGTAGTGATTCTCCGAAGCAGTCCATGTGAACCATCCCCCTCCGCCTCATCCACTTCAACGAACAATCTAATATCACACGGTAGCCATCATCCAATATCACACCCCACTTCATCACCAAGCCACCAGCGGGGCGCCCCGATACTAAACATCGCATCGTCAGCATCGGCCGCTTCCGAAAACTACCCCGTATGTATGTGTGTATGAATAAGTGTGATAGATAGATTTGTCTCTCCTGTCAGCGGCCAACGTCCCGAGATGCTCTCATCATCAGCCCAGTCCTGAACGCCCTCGTAATGTCGTGACGTCCATGAAACGGACGGCTGTCGGATGGCACCACAGTTCTGGGGCTCTGGCCGATTTCTTGCTGTATGGAATCGGAGGCCCGTTTCACAAACGTCACGACATTACGAGTGAGCGAGAAACGGGCGACCCGGATGTGGGGGTTTGCCACATCCGGGAGCGGTAGATGGGGGGGGGACGAGCTATCAAGATCCCCCCCCCCTACCAACTAAGGAAGAGGGAAAAAAAGTAAATAAAAAAATAAAAAAATTCAGGCTCAGTTCGACACGCCACCATACCAAAACATTATATTTCATGAAAACGCAATATCAGCTGGAATAAAGAATTTAATTTAATTTAATTTAATTCCTTTCTCAAGATACAGGTATGGTATTTTGGGGGGAGAATTTTCTTTACAATCTCAGAACTTGATAAAAATTGAAAATTATAGATGCGAGGATCAAAGCATGCAACCTTAACTGTCAGGATTGCTTTTAACTTATATGACTGCTCTGCAGGCACTCTACAGAATGCCCTCCATCGTGCATAGTATGTTATAGTAGCAAAAGAATAATTATTACTCCCGTCATTACACTTGCACTTACAAATAAATAAATACCTTAGTAGTTAAGCCTGCAGTAGGCTCTATGAGGAGAAGTATGAGGTTGTACAAGTAAAAAGCTGAGCCTAATGACCCTATCATTACCTTATCATGCTCTGGAGATGTAATTTGAAGATTTGGAAGAACTTCTCGAATTTCAAATAATTGCAAAGAACACTCCCACAACTCCATCCCTACCTTCAAGAATCGGGGGTGGGATTCTTTTCTAAACTATTAGCAACCGCTCAAAGTTAATTAAGATCCGGGAGGCTGAATAGATTAGCTTCGATTGACTCTAAGGGTTACCTACTCGTAGATAAAGTGGAGCAGCATCAGGACTAGTGCAGGGGAGAGGGACGGCTATCGCCAGGATACTTTGCCTATTACCCTCAAAGGATTTTCAACAACCACCCGGATGAGAATTATGACCCCGTTAGATGATAGAGTACCGGCAGATAGGCCAAGTCATTCGGCACGTATGAGACTTTTTTCACGGGTTGGAGAATCAAGGCTCCGAGTTGAAACCCATAATTTGGTTCCCTGGCATGCATGGATATGATTTGACTGGATTGGTGCCTCGAAATTTGTAAATTCTCAATAAAGGGATTTAGCGACGGAGGTCCCTGTCTCTGCAGTTTAATAGAGGGAAAATAGATATATCGAAAGTTTCCATAGAAGTGTTAGGAGGCTAGAGGTATGTAGAAATTTTGGTTGGCTTTGGAGTGTCCATAGCATGTTAATTACCGGCTCCTTCTTTAGCACGGGCAGTTGATGGACATCTATCAAAGCATCAACCTGTATCAAGGGCATGCCCAACGCCAAACTCCAGGTTGATATCACTGTGTGAATATTCCCTATCTTCGCCCTTGTCCCACTATTTTTTATACATAATATTATGTGGCTAGTAAATAATCACCCTGGGACCAATCGGTGTTGAGCTCGATTTCATAACTCTTGCATTGGGCTGTCTCGCTACGGGGAAGATAGTCTAATACCGCTATGGCCAGCGCCCACTCCGGGCGGTTCCTGTCTAGCAGGCCTCGTTTTTGTCCACTCGTGTTGACCGTTTGCCCTCTACCGTGAGCTACCCCACAGGATCTTGCTGACCCTTTTTTCTGCCCTTTTCTACCACCCCCGAGCACAGCAGACGGGACTCTGGCCTTGTACTGTACTGTACCTGAATTAATCCACGGATTTGACTGAAGAAAAAAAAAAAAAAAAAAAGAAACACAATCTCTCCCCCACTCACAATCCTACGAGCAGTGTCGAAATTCTCACCTCGCTTGGTGCAGCGTTAAACTGGTTGCAGGGCAACCCTGTCGATTCTCACCCTACCTCTCCCAAAAAAAGCAACTGGGAGAGTTTTTTCTCCCGTGTCCCAATCAGGGGATCTTGGCATTTTTGTCTGGAATTCCTTCCTTTAAAACCGCCGTTCTTCCTCTCTTCTTCCCCCTCTCCACATCATCAACGACCACTTCTACCCAACACAACCTCTTTCTCGATACCAGATATAGTCATTCACCATGGTGCGCAATACCTCTCCATTTCTCTTCTCTTCCTGTCCTCCTTTCACTTTCTTACTAACTTTGCCATCATACACAGACCGAATCAACCACCATCATCTCTAATACGGCGAATGTACGCTTCCATCCCACTAACGTCCGAAGCACTTGCGTAAGCTAATTATCCTTGGCACTAGCTCGTCAAATTCCTCAACTTGGATCAGAAAGGATCCATTCTGGCCGAGTATATCTGGATTGACGGATCTAACGGCGTTAGATCTAAGACCAAGGTTTGTTTTGACCCTTGGTTTGCTTATCGCCTACAACTTACCCCACCATTATCGACCCCACCACCAACAAGCCAACCCTAACACTATTTTCCTCAACCCAACTGACCGTTCTATTTTTTTAGACTCTCTTCAAGAAGCCGTCCTCTGTCGAAGATTTGCCCGAATGGAACTTTGACGGGTCTTCTACTGCTCAGGCCCCTGGTGAAGATTCGGACGTCTACCTCCGTCCCGTGGCGATTTACCCCGATCCGTTCAGACAGGGTGACAACATCCTCGTGTTGGCTGAGTGCTGGAACTCGGACGGTTCTCCTAACAAGTTCAACCATCGTCATGAGTGTTCTAAGATTATGGAGGCCCACAAAGATCAAAAGCCCTGGTTTGGCTTAGAGCAGGAATACACCCTCTTTGATCTTTATGGAAACCCGTACGGATGGCCCAAGGGAGGCTTCCCGGGCCCTCAGGGACCATACTACTGTGGTGTCGGAACCGGCAAGGTTTATTGCCGTGATATAGTGGAAGCTCACTACAAGGCTTGTTTATTCGCTGGAGTCAAGATATCTGGAATCAATGCCGAGGTTCTTCCGTCCCAGTGGGAGTTCCAGGTTGGCCCGTGTCTTGGTATTGAGAGTGAGGTTACCCTCAACTCTGCATAATAACTCTTACTAACTATTCGGCAGTGGGTGATCACCTCTGGATCGCCAGATACCTCCTTCACCGTGTTGCCGAAGAATTCGGTGTTAAGATCTCGTTCCACCCCAAGCCAATCCCGTAAGTTTTCTGTCTGTCTGTGGCAAGGTCGTATCAACGCTAACATAATCAATAGTGGTGACTGGAATGGTTCAGGCCTACATACCAATGTTTCGACAGAGGCCATGCGTGAGGAGGGAGGCATGAAGGCTATTGAGGAAGCTATTCAAAAGTTGTCCACTCGACACGCTGAACACATCGCCGTCTACGGCGATGATAACACTCTCCGTCTCACTGGTAGACATGAGACCGGATCCATTGATGCCTTTTCCTATGGTGTTGCGGATAGGGGATCTTCTATTAGGATCCCTAGGTCTTGCGCGAAGGAAGGAAAGGGTTATTTTGAAGACCGACGCCCTGCATCTAATGCTTGCCCATACCAGATTACTGGTATCATGGTTAGTCTAACCAAATTCCTTGATCCCGTGTTAAGAATAATTACTGATATATTTTATAGATGGAGACAATTTGTGGCGGCATTTAGATTATGGGTTTTCTTTACTGGCGCAGTTGATGTCTCTTCGGTTGTTTTGTCTCTTTTCTTTTCTTTTCTACTTGTCTTTTACTTTAGACACGGATGTTAGCGAGGCCTCCAAAAGGAGATCTGAAGTCTAGCGATTAATGCGAAAATGAGATTACAGCCGCAATACTGTAGATTTTCTGTTTGCCTCTTCTCGCTCCCTTGATACGATGAAAAGAAGTGAAGATTTGGTGTAACCAAATAGCTCAACACCAAGCGGCCCACTCTTTTTCTCCCCTCTTCCCTCCCGGATTTCCCACTCTATCGACCTAACCAACCTAAAACACGTTTTCCGAACCCTCCCGACAATACATACGCCCCCTTTCCACGCTACCTGTATCGACCCGGTTCTACCTCTGTGGACCCGAGGGGCCGGAGCATACGTTCCTCCCTCACAAGCACCGGACGATACCATACGATAAGATAACGGTAGGTATGTACCACACAATGGATGCGGGGCTCAATGTGATAGCCGATAAGGGGAGGGATCTGAAAAGTAACGAATGAATGAACGAACCGGTCCACCCTACCCACCCCGTCACCCTATCCCCCAGCCAGCTAGCCAACTCGCGAATCCCTTACCGGGCAGGGGGTAGTGGGTTTACGATAAGCTGTGCAGGAGGGCGCCAGGGGGAAGTGAACTGGGCCAAAAGCCTATCGGTATATTGTAATCGATTTACTAGCTTGGACATGCCCATTTCGTACCGGTCCGTATGGTGATTTATTTATCTGTCAGCCGTCCGTTGACCACGGCGTGCTGTGCGGCTGGCATCGGTACGGGTACCGAACTGGTATTGGTACTTTCGAATTGGAGGTAGGCACCGTGCAGGTGCCTGCTTAGGATTACAACGGATGAATAAGTTACCCGAGTATCATAAATTAAATGCTGACTGTGCTGTCGTCATACCGTCATAGAATTCTGCGGCGTCGACTTTTAAAACGCTGGTTGAATGAATATCCATAATCGCCGCCACCACACGGGGGATGTACTCGTACTGTACGAGTACAATAGTGGCCGGGGGGTCATAATATGGGTGTCACGGATACGGCCTAACCACTACTACTGCGGAACTTCTCATTCTCGGCACGTCAGGGGCCCGGGGATTTGGAGTGCTACGGTAGGAGGAATGGGTACCTGGAAGGAATATGCACTTGGCAGAACACTGATATCCCAGCCCGATAGAATGGAAGCGAGAGGAGGGAGGAATAAGTAGGGCGGAGAGTGACCGAATTGTGGTATACCCGTACGGTTTCATTTGCTGGTATTTCTTTTCATCCACCAGTTAAAGGTAACCTACAAGAACGTACCGTCACCGCTTCACGGCAAGGAAAAACAAGACAAGGCAAGTTTTGATTAGGAGGCTCGGAGTGGTCAGTGCATTGGGGATACATGTATTTCGGTAGAGGGGGGCAACTTTTTAAAGATACAGTGCATCGTAAACCTTTCGGTAAGGTGGTATGATACTATTCATGGCATACTGAGTATAAATGTACAATCATCTTGTATCTCCCTCCTATTGAAGCTTACCAATAATATCTAGCCAAAAATCAGGAGCAGTATAGCTAATGCACATGTCCTGGTTGGTGGGGGTTTATATGGGGAAAACGTCCAAAGCGGCATACGTGTACGGTAATTGGGTCGTATGTTAGTCACTCAGATTGTGGGGTAACTGAGAGCTTCAAGTCTCCACTCATTTGGAGAATTGGAAGCTATTGTACCGGTTATCAGCTCGGGCGTGATACTTCTCTGCTCTTCTCCACCTGCTGTACACTTCACGTAACCTTATTGCGTAAGAAATGTTACGAAGCCGATACCCCGACCTCTTCTGGCATGGGTGCTAGGCCTTCTGGTCACAGGGATGTCACACAGGAGGGTCGACTCAAGGTACGGCGGGTTAAACGTATCCGAGGTGCAAATAGAACTTCGCGTTGCAGGGAAAATCTCAGCCCAACTGCGGAGGGCGCGATGACCGGAGCCACCTAATGGAATGCTGATTATTCGAAGAGGGCAGACCACTGGCAATTTGGTTGTATGACAATAAGAAAATGAACATTTTCTGAAAGTGGTGGACCCAGCATGGATATGGGGGAATGGGCAACCCAACTACTATGAAGTACCATATGAGTCTCAAGATCAAATATTAAAATCCCTTTGACAGAACAGTGTGTATTGTAAGGAATGGGAAGGAGGTAATTGAAAGGTGAAGGTTGGAAGGCTGTGAAGGCTGTGGAATAAGATATGACAGAGAGTGCAAGCACCCCTTGAAAGTGTTACTGGCAGGATTATGGTACTTTGTTAAGAATGTTGGAAGTCCAAGCTGCTCACCACACCTGCTCGGTACCCTCCTTCTCTTTCCCCACTTCACTATTCCCTACCTGCTCTCTATTCCCTTATCCTCCCCCCCCCCCTTCCCATCCTGAATTGGTTTGCTTGTTTGCTTGTTTATTAGTTTTTGGAAGAGCGCTTCAGAAGAGCATGGTGGAGTGCAAGAGAATGGCGGCAGAGCACAGGAGTGCAGAGAGAATGGTGGTGAAGGGCTGGGATAGTGCCCAGGAGATATTGCATGATGGCAAGAGTGCCAGAGCATGACAGAGGGTACTCGGCAGGGGGCAGGGAAGGATTATAGTAGAGGACAACAGGCAGAGTGCTAGAAGAAGAGTGGTGGAGGATTGCAGGAAGAGTGCCGGAGCATGGCAGAGAGGGGGGGAATGTGCAGGGAGGAGGAGGACAGGAAAGGTGTAGCAGGAGAGCACTACAGAATAGTGCATGGCAGAAGCGCAAGTTTGTCTTTCTTTTTTTGTTAGCTTCTCTGGTTTGCTGGGAGGATATGGGGGGCTCACATGGTGGGAGGGGGAGGTGTGAGTTTGTCTCTTTCCTTTGTTAGTTTGTATGTTTGTTGATGAAAGGAGGACTTACCAGGAGGGGTAGGATACTATGGTTTGTTGGTATCGCTTGTAGTAAATATATTCTCTATATTCACCATTAGTTAGTTGAGTATATGAGAGTGAGGGGGTGAGAGAGTAAAAGTAAAAAGTTTTTTTCTTTGCCTTGTGCAGTCCTTCTTTTATATGTGAGATTGGTATGGTTTTATTTCACAGCCCATGACTTGGCTGGCTTCTGATTGGCCTGTTGCCACAATCCCTGTTCGTTTACTGTTGCTATTGCTACAGCTGTTCCACAGCTCATTCAAAAGGTTATAAGCCCAGTTTGACATGATTCGGAAACCACTAGCGAATAGGAATACCGCCAGAACCCCTGTACCCACTCTGCACATCCCACTCCAATTCTTCACATCCCACCCCCTACCGAAATCCCTCTGGCATCTCCACCAATACATAGTTCTGCTATACTAATTTGTGCATTTAGTCTGTACCTGCTGCGTATCGCTCGTTATGGTTGCACCCTGTTAGTACTAGTTGCACCTGGTCAGCACTAGTTACATCCTGGTTACCTCTAGATTCCTCCAGGTAGCAGTCGAGCTCCTTTGCTTCCTACGACTACCGCACATACACCTTGCTACCGCTACGGTCAGAATGTCGAAGACGGGTCAGGAGGTGAATATTCTTGCCTCTCTGAAAATTAAGCCCCTCTTCAAGACAATGAATTATGAGGAGTGGAGATTGGCTGTGGTAGATATCCTTGCTGAGAAAGGGTATTGGCCTATTGTCACTAGTACCTCAGAGGCCCCAGTAGAGTCTGGTAAGGCCAGGAGTCTATAGCAGCAGAAAGTCTATAAGGTCCAGCATATGCTGGGCAGGTTTTTGGATAGTGCTCACTGACAGCTATATGCTGAGGAGTGAGATCCCAAAGAGCTGTGGACGAAGCTAGAAAGACGCTATGCTGGCAAAGACCAAGCTAGGATTTGGTTCCTGTATGAGGAGTTGTTCAAGGTAGAGCATGGGAATAATAACCTTGTTGACTATATTTCCAGTCTAGAGAAACTGTTCTACCAGTTGGCTGCCCCCAGTGAATCTCAAGCTGAGAAAGACAAAAAGTACCTGCTACTATTGAAGCAATCCACCTCCTACTACCCCTTCCGTACCTCAGTATAAAACAACTCCGATTATCATGATACCGAATATGATACTATATGCTACCAGCTTATTCTGGCATACTAACAGTTAACTAGAGATGTGGGTGCCCATGTTAGTGACCTGAAGGGTACCAATACCTTCTTTGCTGGGTGGAGCAGGGGTGCTAGAGGTGGATTCAGTAGAGGAAAAGAACAGCATACCAGCTCTAACGTTGACAGGAATAGCTGTTTCTTCTGCAAGGAAAAGGGACATTGGGCAAATAATTGTCCAGTAAAGCAGCAGGCAAGGAGACCCCCGCCTGGAACTAGTCTTTGAGGTTTTTGGTTGAGGAAGAGGTGGTCCCTAGAGAGTATTACTGGTTAGGCAGGACCAGAGTGCCAATACTACTACCACTAATAGAAATGGATCCCCTAAGGCATAGAGAGCAATGGATGAAAAATCAGCAAAGGCCTCCAGATTAAAGTGGGTGTTAGATTCCAGTACCACCCACTATGTGACCTCCAACCGCATCAGCGAAAATAAATCCGGCGTCAGACGCGCGGGCGCCGCGTCCGGACGCCCGGTGTTTTTCCCCTGTGTCCCCTGCGTCCTGTGCGTCTGGTCTTGCATTGCAACGGCCGGCCGCATCCGCTGCGTCCTCCATTTCAACCCCCGGTTTATCCCGTCATCTGCGACGCCTCCCACGTCCGGCCGTCCTGACGCCGTCCCCACTCACCTCCCACATTTCATTCTATTCCGGACGCCCGTATCCACACCTTCTTTCTCCATCCTGTTGTAACGCATTCGGCGTATCTGCTCTTCTCAGGGCGGCGATACCGTGTTTTGATACCCGGCGTCCCCCCGTCTGGTTCACATCGTCCCATCCTCTGGCGTCTGGACTCGGTCCACATCTCCCCCGGGAGCCTGCACCTCACTGGGAACTCCTGACGCCGCACTTCTACTTTCAGAATTGGGTCCTACCAATTTCAGGACTCTGTATCTCGTGTAGGCTTCCATTTGCCACTACCCCATTCCCACTGTGAATGTCATATCTCGATCAAGTTTATTTCCATTTTATGACTTCCGAATCTATCTACATTATGCTATCTACGGAGGGTTACAACTCCAAGAGCTTCCCGTTATGTGATATCCACGCCATAGCCCTCATTCTCGCCCTTCTCTTGCCGTAAGCGCCTAAGTCCCATATGTTGAATGCCATCAATTCCTAGGTGTCCCAGCCCCACGCCCATACTATGAGAACAGGATGCAAGGACCGGTTTTGGCCCTGCGCCACATCGTGCTTCCCGTGGGATCGAATACTGGCTGAGCGATTTGCCAAATCGTTCAATATATTTCGTTGAACGTCCGTAAATG